ATTATTATAAAATTAATAAAGGAAATAAAAAGAAATCACAGAAAAAAGCAAAAAAAGGGACAGAATCTTACCCAAACCACTGAAGTTCTAATGAGGCAAAACTTAAAGAATTAACAATCAAGCAAGTAAGAAATTTTTTCTCTGTGGACCCTTCTAGATTTGTCTGTAATTCTTCTATCTTTGGCCCTTCCTCCTTACTCTTTCCCTTTCCCCTTTTTCCTTTGTTTTCCCTCTTCCTCTTTCCACCCTTGCTTTCTCTCCCTTCTCCCTTCTTTCCCCCCTTTCTGTCTTTCCCTTTTTTCCTTCTCTTCTAGTTATTATCAATGTGTAAACCAATCTAATTCTGATGATTTCACTCTGTATCACTTCACATAGGTCTTTCAATATTTCCTTGTATATTTCAGATTTGTCATTTTGGAAATACCCTAATTACATTAATATACAATAATGCATTCAGCCATTATCTAATTGTTAGACATATAGATTGTTTCTCATTTTTTGCTATTAAAAATAGAATAGTTATCAATTTTTTTTTATAGATGGGACACCTCCCTGCCCTTTTTTTTCTTTTTGCAATGCTTTTGGTATAGAATGCTTGCAGCAGAATTGATGCTGTATGATATTTGTGACATTTCATTTTGCTATATTGTTCTCCAAAACCTTTGAACCTGAGTGAAACTAGATTAACTATTTGCCCTCAAAATAGTAATCTTAATATCTTTTTATGATCCCATTTAATCAGAGCAATAAAATCAATGGTAAAGTGTGTATTAGTTTTAAATCTATAAACCTAAATGCTCAGAGTAAGAGCAGTGTACTTTAAAGGTAGGGCATTAGGTTTGGAGTCAAGAAAATCTGGGTTCAAATCCTGTTTTTTGAGACTTACTAGAGATATGATCACGGACAAGTTGTATCTTCTTAGTCTCCTAATGAGTTGCTCCTGCCAGTCCCTTTTATCTTAATCTCTTAAATCACAGTGGGGTTTTGATCCATGTTGATAGAAGGATTGTCCTGTTAGTGAATTCACAGATCCTTTTTATATTTGTGTGTGGGAAAGCTATGAGAAATATGTAAATGTCTATCATTCATTCAGTATTGATCACTTATAATGTACAAGGTACTATAGTGGAGCCATGATCTTTAAAGGATTGAAACAAAATAAACTGTGCTATTGCTGTTCCTGTGGTTGTTCCATCTGTGTGATTATCTTTATTTGAATGCAGATGCCTGCAACTCTTCCGAGAGCAGCTGGTCGAGAAACAAAATATGTAAGTCCCTTCTGTAATTATACTTGTCATTTTTTGTAGAAGAATGTGGTTGTATTTTTATTTATATTGTTTGAAATCTGTTCTTACTTGTGTGGAAACTGGCCTAGTTACTATACCTTGATCATATGTGGGGAAAGAGTGTAGAGACATTCAAAATCATTAGTGTCAATAGATCTAACCTTTTGATAAATAAATCCCTTCCCAAATCAGAGATAGATACAGAAAGAGGGAGGGATCACCAGAGGTCTGCAGTCAGCAGAACCCGGGTTTAAGTCCTTCCTGTGATACATATTGATTATTTGGTGCTAGGTAAGACATTTAACTTTCCACTGATTCAGGCAACAATTTGACTCTATAAATTGTAGAATAATTGCTTACCTGAACTGGTAGAAGAAATTTCCTCATCTAGGAGTTCTCTATACCAGTAAAATTATAGGTCCAATTCTTATCCCTATTCAATTATCCCAGATAAGAAGTGGTAGTGAGAAAAATGAAACAACAAAAGCCAGCCCCAAACCTCTTCTTGTATCTTCCTGACTTTTTATTTTTAAAAAAGTGTTCTTAAAGTCTGGATAATGGCTCTTAACATTTTTGTTGACTCTGCTTATCATAAGTATACACAATGTCATATTGGTTGGCTAATAATCTTTTTTTGTTGGCAATTCAGTGGTTTTTGAATGACTATTCATGTTTTTATGCTTTTGGACAGGGTTTAACTATTTACAGGTAAGCAAGTCTTTTGAACTGAGCTGGTAGCTCCCTGTAGGCAGGTACAGAAACACAAAGGATTCCATTCCATTTGTCAGGCATTCATTATGGCATTACTGTATATCAAGCACTGTGCTTTGTCTTGAGGATTAAAAAGAAGAAAAAAAATGTAAAAGTCCCTGCCCTTGAAAAGGGCTTGTACTTTGTGATCTCATAGTCATAAGATCTGGGGCTCTAAGGTATCATGAGTTCACACACATTTATATATATGTGTATGTATGTGCATATATATATGTAGATATAGATATAGATATAGTTATATACTTATGTATATATACATCATGTATATACACATACAATGATATCTATAACTATATATCTATATAACTATCTGTAACTAGATATATATGCATAAAGGTATGTGTATATCTAGGTATATACCTCTCTCTCTCTTGAATTATATATCAATAGACTGAGTTTCTTTTTTAATTCTATGTATTTTATTGTATGAGCTTAAAAACATTCTGAGAAGGGCTCTTAGGCTTCCCCAGACTGTCAAGGGTTCCAAGGTAAGAACTCTTGCTCTAGGGAGAGGCAACACAGAGATGTGATGTCTCAAGTCAAGAAGTCCTTAGTTGAAGTTTGTCTCTTCCTGGGTGTGTGACTGTGGGCAAGTTACCTCTAAAATTCTTTCCAGCTCTAACATGTTTTGAATCTAAGAATGCTAGAGTGTACAGCTTTCTGACTTAGTTGTAGTTGCCTCAAAGCACATGATGAAAAGGGTTTAATGACTGAATTGCAAAATCCTTCTAAGAATGGACTGTCATAGAATAAGGATAAGCTCTCCACTAAAGGCAGTCCTTAGAAGCTTTCACTTCCAGAAGCTTTTTGTTGCTAAATGGGCAACTGCTTACTAAGTTCATGTACTGCTCTGAATTCTAGACATGATTTTGGTTAAACCAATCAGCAGGCATCCACATAGAGAGTGCTCCAATCAGAGTATTCCTTCTAGAAAACCGCAAGTGTGACTTTTTGTCACTTTGACCAAAGGCCAGAATTGATCTGCTTTTAACAGTGTTATTTCATTGCATGTAGATGGAACCTAGATAAAATTCTTTTTATTCTTATAATAAATTATCAAAACTAATCAGAATAAGTTAACATTTTATTCATACTGTTAGAACAGTATTTGGGTTGTTCAGTATTGACATTGAATCACTGAGCAGGTGCAGCATAGTTAAAAAGAAGTATGAATCCTGAGACAGTTAAGATTCCTGACCTTGATGAAATCTTGTTTGTTGAATGAGCAGTTTTGCTTTTGCTTTTCTCTCCTGGCTTGACATTTGAATCATGGTTTGTGACACATCATTTGGAAGAATATTGAAGAGAATTCTGTGCTGGAATACAAAAACCAGATTCTCTTATGATCTATGTCTAAATAATATGCAAATTTCAGCATCCTGCTATGTTTGTTGTGTTTACTGTGTGATGCTTAGTACCTTTTGGAGCACACTTTATCAAAATGAAGTTTGGGGACTGGAATTTTCCCCTGAATGTTGGAATAAAACTTGAACTTTGTGTAACTGACCATTGGTAAATATCAATCAGATGCCAATATTTTGATTATTTTAGTGGGCCACTGCAGTATAGTACATAGGACTTTAAACTTGAAAATCTTAAGGTCAAATCTGTTCTCAAGAAGTAAATAGTTTTTTGACTTTGGGTGAGTCACTTAACGTCTTTGTGCCTCAGTGGCTTCGTATGCATAATGCGGATGATAATAGCACCTACCTCTTATGGTTCTTGTGATAAGGATCAAATGAGATGATATTTGTAAAGTACTTTGCAAACTTTAAAATACTACAAAATGCCATTACAACAACAACAACAACAACAACAACTACTACTACTACCACTACTCCTACTACTACTCCTCCTACTCCTACTACTAGTAGCTTGGTAAGCTCCTAATAGCTCTAACTGTTTTATGATTTGTCTTGTTTCACTAGATGAGACTGATTAACTTTATTTTATCAATAATTTAACAAACCCATATACCTACTCTTTCCTTTCTTCCTCTTCCAAGAAAATAAAACCTCCCACCAAACATCTAAATATATAAATAAGCAGCCTGAGAAGATGATAAACCATTTTTTTTATCAGCTTCTTTTTGACATTTTAAAGCTAGATATCTTCAGAATGTGGGCCTGCTGGGTCTCTGTGTCATAAGTTGTGGAGAGATACTTATATTAACATCAAACACCAAGATCATGCAACTTACCATCTCTAGCGCTACAGAACAGGCCCAACAAAAGGAAACTGACTTAAACTGTAAAAATAGAAAGTGCAGTTGGACTTGAGAGGACATCTTGACTAATTAACATTGATTACCAAGAGAGTTTGTAGAATCATTATCTTCTAGAGGACTTTAAAATTTCAGTAGAAAATCTATTGATCTTGGATCATTCCAACTTAATTATTTAATTTAGCACTTACAGGAAAACTGACCAAAAAAGGGTGATTTATTTTTCAAATTTCAAAAGTTATTTGCAAAGTTGCCTTTTTGGTGGGGTGGAAAGTAACAGTGTACTTATCTGAATTCCCAATATTCTCAGAAGGATTAGCGTTTGTTAGTAGTATGGTGATAGCTATTTGCAGCCATAATTTCTCTCTTTTCTGGGGCCTTTTTGAGAGCTTGTCTCTTTTCTATTAAAAGAAAATGTTGCTTATTGCTTAGCAGTGATTATTTGAGTCATTCAGGTCCAGAAGCAGCAGTGGTTCAAAAGAAAAGAGTCCTGTACTTGGAGTGAAGAAAGACAATTTCAAACCCTGCCTCAGAAACTTACCAGTTGTGTGACCCTGGCAAGTCATCTGCTCTGAGCTTCAGGTTCCTTATCGCTTAAATGAAGATGATAATAACAGCACCTACCTTACTGAATTGTTGTAAGGATCAAATGAGATAATTTACATGAAGTGCTTTGTACACTTTAGAGGGCATTAAGAATGTCAGCTTTTATTTCTCCTCTTTACCTAGATGTTTACATTTTACTTCATTTATTTACATGATGAGTCAGATTCAGGGGTATTCTTGTAATTGTTTAACAACTTGCTCTCAAAAAACATGTGCAAACAAGATACACTTTTAAGTTTAATCTCTGCTATTAACAGCTTCTTCATCACTTTCTTAAGTCTTAATAATCAACAAAACAATAACTCAAACCTTGATTTGTAGCATTATATGATTTCCAAGGAATAAATGCTCATACTGAAAATTTAATAATCAGCTTACAGCTCAAGCACACCTCTTATTAATTATGACCACTATTCAGAGTATATTTTCTATTTCTATTACTGCTGCTACTACTGATACCACCATCACACCTACAATTACCATTACTACCAGTATTTATATAGTATTTTATGAGCTGTATAGAGAGGCAGGATGGTTTTGTGAACAGAAGACTGGACTTGGTTTTAGTCATTCTTCTGATATATACTAGCTGGGTGACTTTGGGCAAGTCACTTAGCATCTCTGTGCCCTAAGGAAGTTTCTAAACATAAAGGTACATGTAGTATTGTTGAACTGTATTAATGGAGGCAGTTGCCAGACTGTGAGTTCCCCACACCAATGAAATCTTAGGTCTAGACACTCTTACCTGCAGGAGAGAGAGAGAGAGACAGAGAGACAGAGAGAGACAGAGAGAGACAGAAAGACAGACAGAGACAGAGACAGAGAGAGAGAGAGAGAGAGAGAGAGAGAGAGAGAGAGGAAAGAAGAAGAAGAAGAAGAAGAAGAAGAAGAAGAAGAAGAAGAAGAAGAAGAAGAA